GAAAGAGTGGTAAACTGGAACAAGACATGGAGAGAACCTCCCAGCAAGATTGTTTTCATTACATGCACCAAAAAGTAAAGAGTACCAAAAGAAAACCAGAGAAAAAAGTGCAGCTACTATCTATTATCCTAGTATTTTACTCTCTACCTAAGCCTACAAAAAATATCTATAAAATTTCTTCAGAGCTGAACATTAAGGCAACTAATTACCTTTCCAGATAGCCTGGAAGGGCATAGCTAAGTGGGAGAGTTTAAAAAAAAAAAAATGCTAAACAAGTGATATGTATGATGTGATCTTATCAGATTGAAAAGGGACACCATCTAACCCGAAACTGGATTATATTTTTATTTTCATAATATTTTCTAGTAATCTGCTTCATTCTCTTCTGCACGCTTTGTCTCACATGCACAAAAACTTAACTCTCGTGTTGTGCGAAATGGAAGAGAGTAAACATTAAAACTTATGCCAAACAAGGCTCTTTTTGTGAGTTTCATAGTTCTCTACCCTGAGGCAAATATGACAAATTTAAGATAAATTTAATCTTATGCCAGACAAACAAACTTAACCACTAAGTGAACTGACTGAACAAAATTGTGAAACAGGAAAGAAGAAATAAACATAGCAGGTCTCCACTTTGAGTAAACCAAGTTGTTCTTCAACAAGGATTTTCTTAGATCACTGACATACAAACTGAAAAGTTTCTCAAGAACAGCAAAATATTTTTTTTTCAATTTAGTTCTAACAAATAACCTGAGACATAGTAGATTTTGCTACTAGATAGATTAGTGAAAAATTAGCAGACTACTTCATTTCCAAGCGACTGGAAACATTAAATTTGCCCCATTTCACAGCTGCAAGTGAGAACAGTTTTTTCCATCTGTGCAGAAAGCCCACAGTGCAAAGTACTGTCAATTAAGCAGCACTATGGAGTAAAATATTTGGACAACCTACAAAAAACCTTAATCAGATTAGCATGTAATCTAGAGCACACACTTACCATATGCTGTCACTGTCCCAACGTAAGGCCCATCAACCACATTTTTATTTTCTTCAGCTAACGCTTTGATGTATCTTTTACTGAGATCCAAAATTTGCTCACGCAGGACTGAACTGCTTTCGTGTTGTGTTTGCTGCTGAATAGTAAAATGCAGAAGCATCATTCCCCAGATGAAACCAAAAGTCACCAGAAAAAAGCCAAGTTTCTGAGAGGACAGCTTCCATGGAGAGAATGCCATGATTCCCAACAGCGTCACAGAGCTACTACAAATGTTCCTACAGCATGAAGCCAAACAGTAAGTTCATGTTCCAGGTATATAAATATCACAGAGCAGGACTCAGTCTTATTCCAACTCCTTAGTCAACGTATATCCGTATTTTAGTTCCATCCTGCTGCAAGAAGAAAAGAAGCATAGTTAGCACAACATGTTAAAAGTTTTTACCAGCTACACTAGGTCTTCGCTCTAACTGGTACAAAACAGGAGCAGACAATATGCTTTCTTTCTAAATGTTTAATTTGCATGTATCAACATTGTACTGTACTAGGCAGAGCACAAAGCAGCAGAGAAAAGCATTGGAAAGAGAACAAAGAGGGAGCGATATGCCTGAGCAGGTGTAGAACACCTCTCAGGATCTGGATCTAATTCAATGCTTGAAGCAGTTTCTATGCTGAACTTCAAGGTAAAGCTGATTTTACATATTTTTTGTGCGTGTGTACACAAAACGTTGTGACATTGCCAGTGCAACAACTTAAGACAATTCTCAACATAATTCAGTTCTCAGCAAACAAGTAATTTTAGCTGGCAGTGACACTGGTCGGAGCTCCTGGCAAGAGCTATGGCATATGCTACATAGGTGATCAGGAAATCAGACTCCCCCAGGGGTAAAGAGGAAAAAAAAGAGATCTACATAATTTAAGCCAATACACTCTCCTGGCTTATACTGCAAGCAGTCAGGAGGCTAGAATCATCTCCTCTTGCTCCTGTGTAGCCTCTGCCATGCATAGCTACTGTTATTCATAGAGCATTGTCCAATCAGTTTGCTCTTTGCAACTGAATTCAAAATACCTACTTCTGAAGGCTACAGCATGTCTTTTGTATGTAAAAATTAATATTCTTGGAGCTTTTCACACATGAAGGAAAAATAATTTTATTACAATAATATCCTTCAAGATATATTAGGATTATTTTTCATGGTAAACTCAAAACCTGGCATAAACAATCCAAAGGCAAGAAAAGCTCTGTGATAAGCACTAGAGGCATGGTCCTTAGCATAAAATCCAGTGAGAAGAAGGTAATTAAAAGGTAATTAAGTGTAACCTATCATGTTAAAACACAGATTTGGTAAAATGTTATCCTTTTAACTTCACAATATTCCCAGACAGGATTAGAGAACACAATGTTCCCTTCCATTCTGCACTTGCACAGATAATGCAGATGTTACTCTGCTTTAATAGGATAATTACACAGAGGCCTGCTAGCAGTGCTCCCTGTTTGTTAAAATTCCCTTAAGATCTTCTGCTTTCAGTCGAACCAGCAGTTCTGCAGAGGGACAAGCACACCCTGGGACCACTTATCTTCCAGCGTGTCTTGTGTGTGCAGTTAGCATTATTGATTATTATTGATTGCAGAAGTGGATGTGCATTCCTCAGTAACCGAAAAGCAGACGAGGCAGACACTGCACTGCATGCTCACGCTGCTGCAAGAACAATCTGTAGTCATCTTTTGCTTAAGGAGGAATGGTGCAGAAAAATTAATTGCAAGTACAGTGGAAAAGATTATAAAGGCCTCGTGTTGACTTTTTCCACTTTTACATTATCTCAGTAAAGAAAAATGAACGGTCTCAACAGAGAAAGTGAAGGGCTCTGTTTAATGTAGCTCTCCAAAAGCTTAAGTTAATTTTCCAAGAAATGGCATTTTGTTCAGTTTGCTTAACTACAGTCTTGGGACACTTTTAGGCCAATTAAAAAGTAGACTATTGTTTTTTTCATTAAAATCTGAATGTTTTACTATTCTCCTGCAATATCTGGTGTGATAAACTATAGGAAATTCCATAATATGAAAAAAAATATGAAAATGGAAATATTCAAGATTAACTCCCTGAGTGACTTAATTTCAAGTAAGAATTGACAGCATCTTATACAGCAGTAAGATCTGTTGTTTTAACAGTCAATATTTCTTCCCCAAGTAGAAAACACTGAAGAAGAAAACAAAGCTATCACCACCATGTTTTAACAGACAAGTATAAAGATTTTTTTATGACTAATTGGTTAGGGAAAAAAACCCACAGAACATAATTAACATTAAAAATAGCCATGAAGTATGCAAGTACTTCAGAGTCTTCTTTTGGATGTTCTAGAACAGAAACAAGGATGATTACAAAAACCACTGTATGTCTAACCTATGAGAGTGTGCGGAAATGCCGTTGTCAGACGCCAATGTTCCAACAGGAGACAGAGGAGTCCTGTAAAAAATATACTTTATTTGAATAAAGGGAGAGTCCAGGGGCATATCCCGGTGGGGTCTCTCAGTTTTGCTGGGGGACGCAGACACCTTTTATCCTAATTTCCTGGCTGCAAATTTCCCTCCTCCTTTCCCCACTGGCTTGAGGTACTTGGAGAGTACAGACTGCCCAATCTGCCTACTGCATATCCCCTTAACCTGGACCCCCTTCATATCAGGCGTTGTATGTCTCATTAACTTCATTTTATGCCTCCCCTAGGAGGAGAAGTTATGTATGAGTTTATTAAGCCTGCATATAGCTTCCCCAAAGTTATCAAAACTGCCAGTTCATGGTGACAGTAGGTTTTTGTCCTTGTTTTCTATAGATAAATCCACTCTCACCCTTCTGCCAAGCTGCTATACTGTGCCTGCAAGCTCTGTCTTTGTTAAAGTCACACCCTCTTGTCAAGCTGCTTGTTGCATTAAGCTATATATTGCAGTTAAAATATAACTACAAAAGCCCTCTCCATCTTCTAAAATATCATTGTTTGTAAAGACACACCTATCTTTTATCCTATCAAGAATAATCTACTTGTATACAACAGCTGAGTTCTCTATTCTATCAACAGAAAAAAAAAAAGCCTTAAATCCACTCAAAAACTCTAAGAAAGCAGACAGCAATATTCACATTTTGCCATAAGAAAGGATGAAAATTCAGTGACAGGTGGAAGAATGGCCTCCACTATATCAAGTGCTAAAAGCCAAAAAATCCACTCCAAAACCAAACAGCCCAACCAAAAAGTCTAAACACCACAAATCAGCCCTATTTTTACTGCCATTTAAGCAATTCTAGTAGATAGCAAATTGATGATTGCCCAACATGTACTCAACTAACGTTACAGCACTGCCAGTGGCCATGGAGGTTTGTGAAGTGCACAGGAGAATCCCCGTCCTTCCCACTGCTTCTATGGCCAGATGCACACCCACGCTGGCTCTGGCATATGTTTAATGCTAGAACTGACAGCTATCAAGGACTGCAACACAACCAACTATTCCACAGTGTAAGATTACCATATACCTATAAATGACATTATTTGGTATTTAAGTGGACAGTGGTCATAAAGTATCAAGGGGTTACGTGCAGCAAATGAAGACAGCAGCACAGACACATCTTGGTAGTACTTCTGTTGTGACAGGAAAATAATGATTGAAGTGGGCAACAGTTGAAGCATTAAACACACATTTGTCTGCTGAGAGACTTCAATTGGCCTGGACAGACAGAGAACTAGTCTGCGGGCACAAGTAAGTCAATCCCACAATTGAGGTAGAATATTGCCCTTTTTCTCCCCTTTGCCTTATAAACGTTCTCAAAGGAGCACATCCTATTAACTACTAAAGCCTTTGCCTAGTTTAGGCTCCAAAATTCACAATGGGACTCATATCTAAAGAGGATATGGAAACACATATTTGTATGTACCTCTAAAGAATGCCAGGCTCTACAGTCTGGAAAGCAGTGGTCTCCCTCCAAGACGACTCTTGAAATAATTCCAGCACCCCTCTGGAAACTGGATATGTCATAGTTGTGAATTTGTTTGTGAAACCGTTAAGAAGATAAATCCTCCTGATTTACCGAGAGTAGCTAATGTACCAAAACTAAATGCCAAGTGTTAAAAACAGGGTCAAAGTGAAAAGATATACAAGGCAATAAATTATATAACATAACAGCTTTATTATGCTCTTCCTCAAATTCAACTCTAACCAGCCAAAATCTCGCCATAACTGAACCAATACACTGGTATTTTTGTTTGGGTTTTGTTGGTTGGTTGGTTGTTGTTTTGTTTTGTTTTGCAAACAGACCAGTTACAAGTTTTACAAGAACAGAACTGCCTCTACTCTTAGCAAAAATTATTTGCTTATTTCCTTGGAAATGGACTAAGCACATTTACATAGGCGTTACAATTTTAACAGTGTTAGTACTTCTAGTATTTCAACCAGCTTCATAAAAAATACGGTTTTTTTTCTGTTCTATATTTAATAAAATCCTGCTCAACAGCTGGTCAATACCTAGTTACTGAGGATAACATTACCACGTCTGTGCCAACACAGCAAAAAAACCCTCATGCTACTTAAGAGTTATATTAGGAAGATATCCCAATGCTAAAGCGATGCACTTGCATCAGGGATCCAAACCACATGTTTCTCAGCATTTTAAGCTTTTACTTCTTTTCTTGAAATGCTTAAAATATAGCACAGTTAAATCTTCATGTGAACAGACCTTAGCAACACTTATCCACGTACTCCACTTTTTAAAAATAATTAATCACCTAAAAGAGATTAAACAAAGTCTTTTCATAAGTACAAACATACACAAAGGTTGACACTCCCTGTCCAGTCTGTATCTAAATAAGAACTGGTATTTTCTCAAGGTAAGCTTGGAACAGCACTAGCCTCAGGACAGTCAGGACTTGACTGCTCATGGCTGAATGTACTGCTCATCAATAGCTCCACTGTTGCACAATTTTAACTGTCTATAACCAAAGCAGAAGCTGTTGCACCCAAAAAAGTAGCAGCAGATTATGTAGTACCTAATTATTTGCTTGTTATGAATTCAAACATAAGCAAACTCATACAGCATGAGTAGTAAACAATGTATATGCATTTTTGTACCAAGAGGCTCAATAAAAGTATTAATGCCATTGCTAGGAACAGGCCTCAGGCCTTATGTCACCTATACTCCTATGCCAAATGCGCAAGGCTCAAATTCTGGCCTCTTATGCTCTGAAATTATTAGCAGAACC